TGGCACGAAAATGTTCACGATTCAATTCCATTTTTTGAAAGAGAAGAACTTTTCAATTTACTGTCAACAACACAAATGAAGCTATAATGGTAAATCGTCTGCTGAATTTATGTTTAAAAATATCAAACTTTCGATTAAAATCGTCTGCGGTTGCCTAGCAACACTTACTGTTGCCAAGGCCAGAAATATAAATAGCAACCATCGTAATTCACATTTTGGGGTGCGACATAAAAAGCGTAAATCAATCTTTTTATGTTATTTCTCCTTCTTATTATTAAAAATTAAACGAGTTCTCATATTTTATTATTCGCATCCACCTTTTGGTTCTATTTTTAGATTGAAGCATGTAGGAATTATTATTTCAAGTTTTTCCCCCAAACCGTGAGAACCGGAAAAATTAGTCTACTTATTTTTGAACGATTAACAAGAAATAATAATTTCCTTTTTGAATATGCCTAAGAGGTCACCAGGATAATTAGCGAGATTTTCTCTAATTTTTATCATTGAGAACTTCGGCTTTGTCTCACTTAGATCAACGTTTTTCTGTCATTTATAGTTCAATAGACATTGATGTTTTTAAACGTTGAATATTTTTATTCTTACTTAAATTTTAATATCTTCAAGGATAATAAGCTAAATGGATATAACTACGACTGTAATTGTAAGGTGATTGATACGTTGCTGTTTGGATATTTAACAAAGAATATCGGATAGTTAACTATGTGCGATGTTGCTGTCTAGTATGAAAACGTTAATATTACTAAGTGAGATTTTGTGTTTCTAATTACTTTGTGTAACTTTAAAACTAATATCTGATTAAGTAAGTAAGGTGCATTTTCAAATAAAATTTTTAAAACTGAATTTATTGAGATAATGTTCGAGCTGATAGGCTTAATAGTCCTGAAGTTATGAGGATTCTTTTCATAATAAGTGCAACCAAAAAATGGTACTTTCTATTAAAAAAATTCTATTTCAACTTTTAAAATATTAGCCCTTTTGATTCGCATTTAGTAACATTCGATTAAGTGAGAAAAACTACTATATGCTACATTATCTCTCTATATCAATCTCAAAATTAACCTCTCAAAACGGGCAGAATTTGTTTCATGCGGACAACAATTTACATTTTAGACTTCACTATTGACAAGGATTTTAAAATGCACATAAATGGAAAACACAAAGTTTAGTATTATGGTAAAAAATGTTCATAATGTATACAAATCTAATCTATTTCTCATTAGCAGTGATTTGGCATGTTAAATTTATCTCAATTTTTCACTACACGCATAAAACATACAACATCTTAGCAATATTATTGAACCTTTATTGAGTTTTAAAACATATCATAATTATAAATTAAATAATTCAAAAAATAAATATTGTGTTATAAATAGACTTCAAAATTTTCACACAAAATGTTTTGTAATTTGCATAAATTATCAATTGAGCATTTGGAAGTATACAAGCTCTATCACAAATAGTTTCAAAAAATATATCAGAGTTTATATTTCAATTTTAATATTTTATCTCATTATTGAAGAAAACGTAGAAATTAAGATCTTGAAGAATATAAATTGTGTTATAGGAAGAAAATTTCAATTGTATAAAAACAATAATAAAAATATTAAAAAACTTCACATTATTAGGAACTTTAATTGATAGAGTTTTTTTAAAAAATATAAATTGCAATGGATAAAGATAAAAAAAGTAACAAATCAGCTCATAAATAGCATATATTAAATTATCATCGTGAAACTTATAATGAAACAAATTAAAAATATTTAAGGTACAAAAACATAAGAAAGGTACATACAGTTCAAGGTACAAGAACATTAAGATATATCTTATTCCTTGTCCTAAGTTTCATATAGATTCATTGTTAATTTTGTGACGTTTAGTAATTATTTTTGTAACTAGTTGCATAAAGATATAAAATATCATTTGAATAAAAAAAAAATTATTCATCATGATAATTACGCAATGCTTCGAGTTGATCGATATTGCTTATACGTTTACAAAAGAATACTGAAGGGAAATAGGAATAATGGAATTCAATTCAAAATCGAAATTAGATGTCTTCTACTTTTTTCGAGATCTGTAAGGTCGCTTTAAGACATGCTTTTCCGTTCCGCCTTGTCTCCTTCTCTTGAAAGTTTTATTTATATCTTTTTGAAGTTTTAAAAAAAATTAAATAATAAATTAAATATTTTCTAATATAAAAATTGCAAAAACTTTGTTTTAATGATCATTCGTATTTTTTACTTCAGGGCCGTTATTTTAAGGGGATGGCAAACAATCTTTATGATGATTTCTCAAGCTTTTATCGACGCTGTTATTCCTGAACAAACGTTCAAAAGCTTCCACAGCTAAAAGTATGTTATATTTGGGCTGGCAATGAGGTCTTACATACAAGGACATCTTACTTTTCATTTTACTTGCTTTAAATTCAATCTTCTTCAAGAAATTCTTTTCTAACAAATCTTTCGGTGAACTCTTGTATTTGTTTTGAAAGCCTTGTTCATTTGCAGTGAAATAGTTTGTCAAACTATTACGATCTTATATTACTTATTATTATCCATCATTGGATCATCAAATTTTAGGTGTGTTGGTGTTTCCGTGTGAAATATTTCAATTTGCATCTCTCCTTCCATAGGTATGTCGAAAGATCCAGTGTCACTACTAGTGCCCTCTATAACTTTGCTAAAAATAACTTCGTTTTTCTGATTCTTTACAACTATACTTACGTAAATTTGGGATTTAAAAAAACCGTTGGGGTACGCTTTGTAAAATCTAAACTTTAGTAATTTTTTTAAAGGATTTGCTGTGAGAGTTGCGAATTCTTCCTCTTTGTAAGCAAGAAATTTAATTTTGTCAGTTGGAAGTGACGGTTTCTTCATTTCCTTAGCTGAAAGGAGTAGTTTATTAGGTTTATTGGCATGAACTATGCCATAAAAATCATTATAGGCAAGTTTTGCATTCTTAGTATTTGGCTCAATAAAAATCTTGTATACTCCTATAGGTACATCCTTAAAAGTAATATTTTGACTCAGTATTGTTTGCTCGGTTACAGTTTGAGATCCATCCATCAGTTTTAGTGTATTGCCGGACAAGACACCAAATATTTGGTTATCTATGTTAACAGTGAAATCATTTTTCAGTTCAGTGGAACTCAAATCCGATGGTGTAACTAAACTAGTCAAGTGCAGTAGACCCAAATTGTTATAAACATTTTGCATTTCCTTGGCATCGCTTATGATGTAGTTCAGAGGATAGGCGACACTGGATAAAACATAGTAATGTTCATACAGCTCTTCTTCTTGTATTACTGCTTTTACCAGTTTCATAAAGGGATGAACATCAACAGCAAACTCAACTGCAAAGAAGTGCATCAGTTTTTCTATTAAAAATGTTCCACTGGCATAAAAAGGACGGCCATCAAATTCTTCGCGATTAAGTTCGTAGAAACGTGTAATAGATTTCCGACCAACTTTAAAAAACATGTGCGTTAAAAATGATAATTTCGGTATTAAATCCCATTTTTCAACTTCGTTTCCCTTTCTGAGTATTTCAGTAAGGTCCATTTCCCTTTGTTTTGAACCTTCCCATGACATATTCTTACCAAACGCAATGGCTTGATAAAAGAAGCATAAAATGTTGTTCCATACTTCAGTAACAGATAATGTTTCATCACCTATACCTGTCAGTTCGTGTCCATGTGCAATTTCATGCAACGCCCCCCAGTTTGTTGTATTGATATCCAGCCAGAAGGATTTCATTGATCCTGAGTTCACAGCCGTAAACTCGTGAGTGTAATACGCTAACCCAGCTCCACTTTTGTCAGCTTTCAGAAAAAACCTGTTTCTTACGTTTTGATTGGTGCCAGTTTCCTCAAATGACAACCCTATCAAAGTCACTGTAGGTAGTAAATATAAGGTCGTAGAAAATAATTAACTGATTGAGATTTTTGTCGTCAGGTAACTTTCTCGCAGTCTCTTTGTCCACTTTCGGTATAAGGAGACCGAAGTAATCTGATTCTACGTAAGCAAATTCTGCATCTTGGGTATCCCAGAGTTTGAAGAAATCCTCTAAATTGTCACCAAAACGAAAGATGGGAAGAATTTTTGAACCCGATGGATAGCTTATGCTGATTTCTCGATTATCTTTAGGAGGATTTTCAAGGTACTCACAATCTATGAATGGAACACTTACAGAGTCAATACTGACAGTTGATGCTCGTCCTGGTGGGGAATTTTGAATATAAAAATTGCCCTCTGTTGAACTGTCATCGTTGAGTAGACGCACTTGCACTTGGCGAAGACTCTGACTCATGAAAACGCATTCCATTTTACTGTTGGCAGCTAATATGATTCCAACTGCTTTTCGGTGATGATAGAGGCCTTTAGTCATAGGAAAATTGTACCAAACAGGCTTCGGAAGCCATGTAGCCTGAATTTTCTTTCTGGAAGTCATTTTATTTTACCTGAAATGATTATGCTGATATAAATACACTTTGTACAAACCTTTTCATAATTAATACGAAATTTTTTTTCTAGAATTGTTTTTCTTTTTGTCGTGAGAAATTACGCAGGGGAACAATTTTTTTTTTATCTTCTGTTGCATGGGATTTTTTAACGCATCTAATACTTTCATTTCACTGATTATAAGTTTGCAATCGGTTTCTCGTTCCAAGTTACAGTTTTTTTTAAAGGATATTTTTTTTTACGAAATAAAGTTAAAATGATCTCAAAAATGGCGTAATAAACTTCTAAGGGATTTAGATCTCATCTATAAGATTAAAATAGCAAAAGAACCCGATAATATCTTCATTCGCCGCTGGGAGCCTGACCGTATTTTGAATGGATTTGTGGTGTACTTCTAAACTGGTTATAATGGGGAAATGATCTCTAAGCCACCAACACTCAACTAAAAAATTCTGAAAAAAGTGGCATTTAAGGATAGATATCCGTATTTCTACATTGAGAGTTGCTTTGACTAAAATGGCGGTACGTCTTGCTTAAGCTACGAATCCAGAGCTTCAGTTTGCAGAATATACGTGGTGTAATTTTGTGTCTAATGAAAATAACAGAAGTCTCCTGTTTGTGATCACCATTCTTCTAATTTAGAAATGCGATTTTAAACCACGTTTCCGTTAAGTGTATACTTTAAGAATTCGTAGTACAAAAGAAAAAAAAATTCTTTAATTTTATTGGGGTACTTGTTTTATCTGAACCTTTTTATAAAAAATGCAGCAACTTTCTAAAGCCTTTTTGCATGACTATTTTCTAAAATAAAAACTCAGAGGAGTAAATTTGCCCTGTTTTCTTTTGCATATTTCTCAACATGTCTTTTATATTTTTGCATCACTAATTTCAAATTTGCTATTTGTTTCTTCCTCGAGTTTCAGTTTTGACTTTAAAAAAACTTTTTTAATACATTTTGTCAAATTTAAAAACGTTATATCTTGCACAAATGCTATCACAAGCTTTTAAGAGAGTTAGGTTACATCATCAGTATAAAAACTGCATTAAAACTCATGCCTGGAAATGTCGTTAAACGCCATCCACTAGAGTTGTTATGTTATTAAAATTGTTTCTTTCTGTGCTTCTGAATATGTCATAATAGGAAGCAACCCTAGTCGACATTTCCGGGTATGGGTTTATATACAAATTTAGTTCTGATGATGTGCCCTAACTCCTCTAGAAGTTAATCACCCCTAGTTATGTATAACGTTACACAAAAATTTAAATATATTATTACATCTAACTTTTATTTATTGTGAGTAATAAATTTTTTACCTCTGAACAATTTCTACATACATTTACACAAATATGAATTTTAATTATTGTTTTTGGTTTTCATAAATTATATATTATTCCATTGTTTTTTTCCTTTAAAATTCACTTTATTTGATCCTTCTCTGATGATATTATTAAACTGTAGACAGTTGTTATACTTACCCAAGAGGTTTTTTAGTAAATGTTTGATTTTTTTAATCTTTTTCTTATCTGGACATCTGTTATTCTGTGCTCCAATGTTCAATTAGATACAAATTCCATTTATTTATTGAAGTTTATGCAAATGAGTAGAACAAAAATATTTGTACATTTATGCATATTTAAATACATATTCTTATTTTTTTAAAATACATATTCTAGATTTTGCAAGCTGGTAGTCAAGATTTTTACAAAATTGTACTCTTAGAATTTTCATTCGGAAATTATCTTAAAATAACTGGCAACAGTCTGTTCATACAAGGAAACGTAACCGTGAACACAAAACCGTGAAACTATGAGCACAAAAGTAGGCTGTTGTTACGCATTTACAACATTCGTGTTTGAAAACCAGAAAAAAGTAATCCAACTGGACATTGACGATAGTTTAGCAACTTTATAATGCTGCAATCTATACGTGAATGAGGGTATCGCATTCTAATTGCCCATGGTCACAGTTTTGAGAGGTGCAATAAACTTAAAAGTGTTCATATGTATTGAAGGAATGGTAGAAATATTGTAGTTTTAAACGCTAAGACTTAAACCTCTGTTCATGAGACTGACAGATTAGTCCTCTCGGCTATTAAACGTACTCATCTGCAAGGAACTAAGCGGCTTCATTACATTGATCTAGTTGGTGCGATTAAATTTTGATTGTTTAAACGTATTAGCTGAACAGTTTGAATACTATCTTATTTATGGTAATTTGACTGTTTTGTTTAACTATAGTAAAATATTAATTAAAGAAAGTTTTCTTTAACCTTTTTTTTTAAATTTTTAACAGTGCAGAGGATTTAGAACTCATATGAAGTCAGACGCTTTATTTTGCACTTCAACATTCTCAGAAAACACGTAATTTTTAAACATATCTCTTCGATACCTCAAAGATTATTCATCATGTTTCCTTTTTTCGATAAATTAAACTTTTAAATAATGTAGGAACTTTTTTAATGCTATTATTTTAAAATTGTCATTTCAGATCACAAAAATTGTTTAACTCCATTTTTGCGTAAAAAGTGGACTTTTACAGTTAATATAAAATTCAAAAACCCTGTTTGAAAAATATCGTTTACTACAATTTAGAGTGTTTATCTATAATCTTAGAATAAAAATCTATCTGAAATGGTTTCAGAAACAGGAAACTGAAAAATATATTATAAAAAAAGTCTCAGTTTGGATAATTGCTTACAGGGTGTTTCTTAAAGACCACCCTCAAAATGTATTTTTCGAATCAGTCACAAATATGAAGAAGAAAAAAATGCATATTTATTAGAGTCATAGTTTAATATTTATCTCATTAAAAACACTCTCGAATTCCAAAAAGCACAGTGCTGGAAGGTGTATGCAATAAACAGCAATAAGTTTAATTTCGGGAGGAAACAGAGAGGAGTTGACAGATGCTTCCGAGAAACACTTACAAATTTTTACCCCTAAATAAACCTATTTTATTGCTTATTACATTCCCTGCCTATACTGTGAGATCTCAGATTTCGATAGTGTTTTTGTTTCACTTGCTTATTTGCGATACATTTGTACATACAATTTGTTTTCATTTCTGATAAAGATTTATAAAAATATAGTGAACTTTTTTTTATCGAATTATTTGACTCAAAAGGATGATCATGAAAATGCAATTTGATTAAATTGTTATCGAATTTTCATATAATTTTCCTATTCGGTATTGTTCTTATTTTATAACACTGAGTAAATCAAGAACACCATTAGTACTTAACAGAATTTTGAACGTTTCAACCGTTTTCCTTATAAGTCGTTTTGCTGACATTCATTTAACAATTTGGGAAACAGTAAAACAACATTTTATTTCACAAATTTGTTCCAAATGATCTACTGAATTGATTAAAATAATACGAATAGAAATTTGAATTCTATTAACATTATAATCGATTTAAAAGCTTCCCTACATTTCCATTACGATGGCAGTATTTTGTTAACATTTTATGTAACATTTTGATATAATGTAACATAATTGGTACTTGCAGAAATAAATCTTCTTTAAATTTTAGACCCCAAATTAATAATTATTAAAAGTTTTTTTCCAGTTAAAACAATTTTAATGTTCGTTATACGAGAACAATATTAGAACAATTAGTAATTCTAATAGTAAAATAATAATAAGAAGAATTGAATAATTCTAAGAATTAAATACTGATTCTGAGAAGTTAAATAATAAATCTAAGATTTAAAAAGCTCCTAATAATATTTTACAAGTTCTTATAATGAACTTTCAGTTGACAGTGAGCAAGTATGCGGAACACTTCCCTATTAATATTGAAACACAATTCCTTTACAAGAAATCTGCATAGACAATAATATACCAGCACTTATTTATGAAAATTTCATTTCTCCAACAAAAAAGCCATGTTTTTATTAAAATTTCTATTTATAATAATATATTTTGTATTTGACCTTAGCAAAACCATATGTGAAGGTGTTTAAAAAAAGTATAAAACAAATTTATTCTAAAATGCTGAAAATGAAATGTGTCAAATAATGAACTAGAAAAACTTACTCAGAAGGATTCCACAAGCTTTTAAATTAAAGCCACAAGTAAAAACTTAGTAGTAAAATTTGTTCAAAAAACTGCTTAAATATATATCCAATCTTACATCATTAAAGATAAATATAGTCGCAAATAGTAACAAACAACATGATACAATTTATTCAAAAACAAGTTATGAGAATAATATCATATTTTACGCACCGCAGATTTGCATTTGCGTGTATAATTGTATGTATTCTATTTCTATCTTTAAAGCAACGCTTTAACAAATAAATTTGAAAAGAACGAAAATTTACCAATGTGTTTTTCTACTCACAAAATTCATTTTTTTTTTTCGATAGAGCTGTGTAAAAAATTTACCTCTTGTTATGTACCGAAAACAACTACACTATGTATTTTTTTTTCTGTTATTTTATTTTTAACACATTAAGGAAAAGACAACAATCAAGGTGATTCGATATTCTATCACCTTTTTCTTTCTTTTTAAAAAAAAATAAAATAAAAACTATTAAAAACTAGATTATATTAAAGATTTTCGGTTTTTTATAAACAATATAAGTTCCTAACATTTTTTTCTTCCTGTTATTTTAATTTTAACACGTTGAGGAAAAGATAGTGTTACGATCAAGATGATTCGATATTCTATCACCTTTTTCTTTCTTTTTTTAAAAAAAAACTATTAAAAACTAGATTCTAATAAAGATTTTCGGTTTTTATAAACAATATAAGTTCCGAATATTTTTTTCTTCCTGTTATTTTAATTTTAACACGTTGAGGAAAAGATAGTGTTACGATCAAGATGATTCGATATTCTATCACCTTTTTCTTTTTTTTAAAAAAAAAAACTATTAAAAACTAGATTCTAATAAAGATTTTCGGTTTTTTATAAACAATATAAGTTACTAATATTTTTTTCTTCCTGTTATTTGTTATTTTATTTTTACACGTTGAGGAAAAGATAGTGTTACGATCAAGATGATTCGATATTCTGTCACCATTTTTTTCTATCTGTTAAAAAAACAATTAAGAACTGGAATTTTATGATTATTTTCGCTAGTTAAATATATTTTGTTATCAAAAATGTCCCAGAATGAAATACATTTACTACCATATACATAACTCAGTGGTTAAAACAATTAATTGTCATTGCAGAAAATGGGGGTTTGATCCCCCGTGGCGGCTTGAAGCCCTCTTAGCTTCAGATGTATGGTTATCAGCTTGTCTGAGAAGTAAAGACCACCTACGTGCAGCACTGACTACATTGCCACAAGCATGTCGTTGGTTTCGTGTATGATAGCCTTATTAGTGAATACAGAAATGAATATTAGAGACATTATTAGTCTATTTCATCTCCCAGTTTTTATAGACCATTGTCAAATTTTATTTAATTTAATAGGTAAATGAGAATAAACAAAATATTTCTTCGGTCGTTGTGAAAATTCGATAAAAAGAAAAAAAGAATATTTCGCACTTCCTTGTAAAATAAAAAAAAAGTTCGGGAAGCGATCTTTTTCATTGAACAATATTTTAATTATAATCTTTTTAGAAAAAAAATTATGATCAAGCTAAAAATGGTTGTAAAAAAAATTCTGGAGGGGAAAAAAAAGTATGCTGTGTTTAATTTTTTTAGACAAAGAAGTTTCTTTAAATCATGTTTTAAGCATATGAGCGAAAAACATTTGAACAATACTTAATAACACTTTTCCGAAAATACTCAGGCTACACGGAAACCCACGCCATGATTACCTGGAGGTGGGCCATGATTACCTGGCGAACCACCTCTGCCGCATCGGCATTCTCGCTGACCCAAATTTCCCGTTATGCTCGAATAATGAACTTATGGACGGACAGGAACCATCTATTGAGATGCTCGGCTCTGCGTGAGGACTCTGAAGTGAGGCGCTACTGGAGTGCCCGACATCTATTAATGAGATAGTGACTTTTTTCTCTTACTAGTTGTTCACTGATTTTGTAAGAGTTTGCCATTGAAAATAAAAAAATTAAAAAAAAGAAAACTTTTCTGAAAATTGCTGCTGTAGGAATTTGCTACTTAAAAAATATCCTTAAAGTGTAAACTATTTCTGAAAACTTTCGCACTGAATTCATTAAATTTTACCCTTTTTTAATTATATTTGACTTGATATTGAGCTTATATTAAAGAAAAATATACGTTCAAAATTTAGATGGACAATGTAAGGAATTAAATGCATGTCAAAAGTTTATAAAAAATATTTGAGTGCAAGAACTGTTGGTTTTGGTTAGAAAATTTTGGAAATTAATTTTTAAACTATCCATTATATCGTTACAATTTCAGTTGCTTTTTCATTCGGCGTATTTTGGGGAAAATTTTGTTTTTAAAATGTTGTACTTATGCCTATATTTTAAAAACTGTCACAATTATAAACTATTTATAGAATTCTTGTTAGGTTTCGTGATGCAAATGTGTGCTAAATGCGTTTTAACACCTACAATACGTTAAAATATAGTAAGATACCAATAAGTTTAAGCATCATTGCTCTAAGAAACTTTTTTAAACCAGTCTTTTTTATTATCATTCTAACACTCGTCATTTTCACAGAAAAAATAATATTAAATAATAAATAAAATAGTAATCGCCGACTAAGTCTCGTCTCCAAAGGTGCATTCCACTCAATCTAGTAAACCTTCAGGACGATCAAGAAATTAGATAAAAAAGTATTCTTGAGTATTATTTAAATGCATTTTTTGTTTATTTATTAAATTTAATTATTTATTATTTAATTTAAATTATTTTAATTATGTCGGGTGTAAACCTTTCAGTTTTGAGTGCGATTTCATAGTATCGATTTATACCGATTTATTCATTTTTTCCCCAGTACTAAAAACGGGTATTCAGCAGGTATCGTATAAAAATATAGTTTTTGTAGAGTTAATTGATAAAGTTAATAAGAATAACAACAAATATATTTTCTTTAAGTGCCTCTTAAAAAAAAAACAATTTATTTGACTGATATTAACCAATAGAAAATAAAAAATATAAATTTATTTCTAAAGAATTCAGTTTTTTTCTACTCTGTAAGAAGTTCCTGATCAAATTGGGGTATAAAGCTTCGGCAATTTGGGAGCATTATCTGTAAAATTCATTTTTACCATCAAATATTATATCGTAATTTTTACAGTAATATTTATTTAATTCGAGTGATTCGGAAATTTTTAAGATAATTATTGATCCTGAACTTTTTTGCAGTGTATCCGTATCACTTGATTTAAGAAGCCGTATTCATACGATTTTTTTTTTATCATGATGTTTCTAAATAAGGCTATCACAATCCTTATCAATTAGTCTTATCATCCTTATTTATATTTCTATAATGAATAAAAATTTAAGTATGATATGATATGAGTCAACTTTTTATTTCCTTTGATGTAATTATCATTATGTTTTAATTGTGTCATCAACACAATCATGTAAATATTTACGATTTTAAAAGTAACTAAAAACAAAAATAGAAAATTCTAAAAAATATACCTTTGAAGTCTGCAAACTTCATTTCAAACTGGTTGAATATTTCCTTGGTTAAATATTTCTACAAAAATGGGATTTCTTGCAAGGGATTAACAGAAATCGTTTAAATTTTTTTTTATCGATTACCACTTATTTGTGATTTTGGCTGTGTCATTACCTGGTTTGAAATCCGCCACTTATTTAGCTTTCTTTCAGCAGGCATGATTAGATAAACATGCCTGAAATAACAAAATCTGTTTTACTCTAAGGATCTTGGAAATAATAAACAAATAAAATGAGCTTTTATTTTAAAAGAAAACCCAATATTGTAACAGAACTATCTTTAATAAAATTTCAAGTTACTCACATTAATACTTGCATTGTGTATATTGAATTGCAATTGAAGGTGCGGTCTAACATTTTTCGCAACAACCGCCATCAATATATATTTTTAGATTTCGTTTAAAAAAACATTTCAAGTGATATGCTCATCATAAATCGTAAATTAATCTTTGAAATCCCTAAATAATATTCAAATAAAAAATTGCAAATTTCGTTTTATTTTAGGAAGAAAAAATCTTCAAATTTCTTCTGACAATCTGTGTCAATTTTCCCGTGACGGTGTATTAGATACAGTTTACCTTTCAATATGGATGCTCATAAATAATGAACTTTTGGTTTTTGAAATAGCTGCTGTCTTATTAGTGACTCATTATAGGTAAATCTGTCTTATTGTTTTGCTTCAACTTCAGGTATGTCAATCCGTTTTTTATTAGATTTTTTAATACTACTGGGTGTTTTTCGGATCACAAACGCTTTGTTGTAAACCACTATACGTTTTGTTTTATTCGGCCACAAAATCATTACTAAAAATTCTTTTAGTATTTTCATTTATTTTATTATTATACCCAACACCTCAGCATAATTTAGAATAGCATCAGACTTTATTTTTGATGTGATGTCTCGTGAAACAAATTGGACCCAAAGTTATTTAGTGGGAAGCAAAAATTTTATGTTTAATTTTAGATTCTGCTTTTCTTGTCTTTACAACTAAATTCTTACCTTTTGATTGAACATTTAATTATGTTTCGAAAAAGAAGCAATATTTAAAATTTGGTTTTATGTAATAATTTTTTCAGTCCCTAAACTTAGAATAGCAGTACACTATTATACATACACTTATTTAAGCATTCTATATATATATATTTATTTATATATATATANAATTTCAGCTCTCTCGTGTAAGTCCTTTATGGTGTTGCAATTTTCACAAACATGAGTTTATATATATATAGCTTATGCGCAGTAAATAAAGTATATTGCTTTTCTTAATCTTCTTCGTTTTTCTCTTTTTGCCTCTATTGTGCTACATATGTACATATATCCATACCAGACAATAAATGTATGAAACATACAACATGTTAGCATTATTGGGTGTTTATTGAGTCTTAAAACACTATAAATTGAATGTTTAGAAGAATACAAATTGTGTCATAAATAGATTTTAAACTTGTAACAAACAGTTTTTATAACTTAAAAACATATCACACGATAACACAAACGTCTTATTTCTGTAGCAATTATAAAATTAAAAGTTTGAAACAACACAAATTACATAATAACTAGAGAGAATACAAATAATTACATCACATTATAGTAAAACAATACAATTACAACTGTGTTTTAATATTCGATTTGTAGAATTAAACTTTCTAAACGATAGAAATTGTAATATGAGTGGATTATATAAAATATATAAATTCAATATGCAGATAACATGACACTTTCTATTATTGGGTCAAGTAATAAATTAAATATTTCAATTAATAAAAATTCCAATTAAATATTCTAATTAAGCTATATAGGGATTAAAAATATAGCAGTTAATTATTAATGTAACAAGAAATTAGTTTTACTGTGACAGAAATAAAATTCAAATTTTAAAAGAACATAAAGTGTAAAATATAACAAGATATAATAAATCACTGAAAAAATATCCTTTGTTTTTTATGACAAATAATCTATTGAATTTTCAAAAGAATACAAATTGTGTCATATTGAATTTCCAAAAATGTTGTAGAATATTTCTGCATAGAAATATCAAATAATTACACACATCTATAATAACTAAAAGAACATTTTATCTTTAATAGAATAAAATTTTATTAAGATTAATATTTGAGTATAACATTTATATATAGTATATATCTTACGTCAATATAATTACGTATATTGAGTATGTATCTCGCCTCCTGCAATAATTATTTTCAATAATTATATTTATTGAAGTAAATTGCATTGTATTTTAAGTATGGAAAAATTATTTCCAAGTATGTTCGTACCTTTTCTCAACTATTCAAAAACTTTTTAAAAAAATTATTAGTTTTTTATACAGATAATTTTTAAAAAGAATTATAATCAGTCATGTTTATTATCCTCTCAGGTTTATATTTTTTCGGGTGGCGGCAAGCAATCTTTATATTTATCTCTGAGACTTTTATCAATGCTTTTATTCCTAAAAAAGCGCTCGAAAGCTTCCACAGCTAAAAGTAAGCTGTATTTAGGAATACAGAAAGGTCTGTCATACAAAGAGATTTTACCCTTAATTGCACTTGCCGCAATATCTATTTTCTTCAAAAAACTCTTTTCCAGAAATTCTTTTTTTGTTTCCTTTTTCTGCAAACCTCGTTCATTTGCAATGAAATAATTTGTTTTGCTGTCTCTATCTATAAGTTCTTGCAGCATCGGATCTTCAGCTTTTAAGCGGCTGTTTGTTTCTGCATGAAATATTTCAATTTGCAGTTCTCCTTCCATTGGTATGACATAAGTACCAACGTCAATGCTGTCCCCATTAATACTCTTGTTAAAAATAACTTCATTTTTTTGGTTTTTTATTGTTACTTCAGAATACTTCTCACCTGAAAAACGTGCATGAGGTTTATCTTCATAAAAATGGAATTTTACCAAGTGTCTGAATGGTTCTACAGATAGGTATGCAAAGTTTGATCCCCAACCTATAAAGTTGATTTTATCAGGAGGTAGAAGCAGCGGATCCTTCATTACTTTGGCTGAAAGTAGCAGCTCGTTAGATTTACTTTTGTCATGTACTATGGCATAAAAATCATCATACAGGAATTTGACATTCGAGCGAGTAGGTTCAACAAAAACTTTGTATACTCCAATAGGTATATCCTTCAAAACAAGAGTTTTGTTGCGAATTTTTCGCTCAACTACAACATTTGTTCCATCCATCAACTTGAGTGTATCACCGGACAAGTCCTTTAATATTTTGTCCTCTATATTTATAATGAAATCATTCTTTATGTCAGTTGAACTTAAATCTGATGGAGTAACTAAGCCTGTCGAGAACAGTAACCCTAGCTTTTCTTGAACATCCGGCAATACCTGTCTATCAAATAAAATATGGTCCAGAGGGTGGGCAACACTAGACAAAACGTAGTAATGTTCGTAAAGTTGTTCTTTGCGTATAAGTGCCTTAGCTAATTTCATAAAAGGATATACGTCGATAGAGAAGTCAATTGCAAAGAAGTGCATCAGCTTTTCCACAAGAGGTAAGCCACTGGCATAAAATGGAGTGCCATCAAACTCTTTTCGAGTAAGCTGATGAAAACGCGTTAAAGATTTCTGTCCAGCTTTACGAAACATATGCACTAGAAAGGACAATCTTTCAATCAAGCCCCAATCTTTTACTTCTTTTAACGGATAACTTATTAAATCATCAATTTCCATATCACGTATTTTTGAACCTTTTTTACCCAATTTCTTGCCAAACATTATTGCTTGATAAAAGAAGCATAATACATTATTCCATACTTCACTAACAGCCAACGTTTCGTCACTTATATGAAGTTGATGCCCATGACCGATTTCATGCAAAGCTCCCCAGTTTGTTGGGCCTACATCCAACCAAAATTCTTCTATTGATGCTGAAACTACCGCCGAATACTTATTACCATAGTAGGCCATGGCATTTTTGCTTCCATTTTGATCAGCTTTTAGAAAAAACCTGTTTCTGACATTTTGATCTGTCCCACTTCCTTCGAAAGACAACCCTATTAATTCACTGTAAGTTGTAAAGATTTTGTCGTAGAAAGCGATTAAATCGTCGAGAGATTGCCCGTCAATTAACTTTCTCGTAGCTTCTTTGTCTACTTTCGGTATAAGAAGACCGAAATAATCTGATTCTACGTAAGCAAATTCTGCATCTTGTGTATCCCAGAGCTTAAAGAAATCACTTTCGTTATCCCCAAAGCGGTAAATCGGAAGAATTTTCGAATCAGTTGGATAGCTTATGCTGACAGTGCGAGTATCATCTGGGGCTTTTTCAAGGTACTCACAATCTACGAATGGAACGCTTACATATCCTATGCTAACAGTCCCTGCTCGACCTGGATTGGAACTTCTGATTTCAAACACTCCTTCTGTTTTCTCACCATCATTGAGGAGACGTACTTCCACTACTTCAAGACTCTTACTTTCCAAAACACACGACAACTTTTGATTGGCAACAAGAATGATACCAACAGGTGTACGGTGGTGACCAACCCCTTTAGTCATAGGAAAATCATACCAGACAGGTTTTAACAACCACGGGACTTGAATTTTCTTTTTAGATGTCATCTTAATTTACCTGCAAGAGGTAAAATGAATGTTAAAAGAGATACCGATTTTTACGCACATTTAAAATTGTTATTTTTTCTAAAAAAAAATATTTGCCCACTTTTGATTGCAAAATTTGATAATTTTACGATTTAAAAATTCAATAATAGCATTAAATAAAGAAAAGAGAAGATTATTAAAACAAATATCATTTTTAAAAAATATTAAAAAAAAAACTTAAAAACTATATTTTATAATAATATTTCTTATATATATTTTTTTAAATATTTCTAAAAATATTTTATTTTAATGTATTTTTCTTCTTTTTGTTTCATTAATCTTTATCATTTTTCCTGATTTCTCTATATTTTTAACTAATTTTATGATGTTTAATGTTTTACCGTATTCAAACAAAACAGTTAAATAACCATAAGTAAGATGGTAATCAATTCAACTGCGTACATATTATAGCCAAGAGGACTAATCTGGCAGTTTCATGATCGACAGAACTGGGGTTCGAGTCAAAGCGTTGACATCCCAATACTTCATCCATTATCTTCAATACATTAGGATTTTCCAATGCCCTTCAAATCCCAATTTTAGTCCTGCATTCTCCAGTGCCTATTACCTAACGGGAAGCTTAGCTCCTATTTCAAGTTAAATTTCGTTTTTACGGTTTTGAAACTATGCTGGCTGTAAATGGTTTAAAAACCGTATAGTTTTGTATTTATGGTTTTATAATCATATTTTGTTAACGGTTTTAAAACTGTTAAGATAAAAAATGTCCTTTACCGTAAGCTTTACGGTTAATTGGATAGACAGACTGCTGCCAATTATTTTACAATAATTTTAGAATGAAAATTCCAACAGTGCGCAGTAAATAAAGAGTATTAGTTTTCTTAATCCTTTTCGTTTTTTTTCCCATCCTCTTTGTCCTTATTGTGGTAGATATTTACATAATCTTTGCACAAACTCTGCTCTCTGTTCTCAAACTGTACGCTTTGAATCTTAGTACGAACTCTATTTAACTTTGAAAATTGTTGCTTGTTCAGGTCGCCTTAATATTTTAAATATGTTTTAAATACAGTAAGGACATAGATATTAGGAGAATAAATCATTAAGGTTTTGAATACTGAAAAATTTGATATGTTGCCAAAAATATTTATTTATGGAGTGAAATAAATTTCGATGCATATTTTTTAAATTTGAATAAATTATTTTTCCTTCATTTTGCTGAAAATTGTATAATGGGTTTTAGATTCATAAGTGATCCAGTGTTAGAGTCATATTGTACTCTGTAATATATTATGTCCTAGTAAGCTCAAAATTTAATAGTTATGAGTTTCATAAAACTATAGTGTTAGAGGTAGTGATCACTTTGATACATTATGTTTCAGTGTCGCTTAATTTAATTCAATGAGTTTCATAAATGGACAGTATTAGATGAGAATAAGATATTGCACATTGTGATATATTTTGTTTTATCATGGCAATTTTTATCATTTAATTTTGAAACTCATTTTCTTTTAAATTATACATTTTCGATAACCTTCAAGTAAACACTAATGTAAAATAGTCAAAATTGGCTTCAGTGCATAAATAAACGTTTCTTTTTTAAATTACAAACATATCGTTTTTTTTTAAAAAAAAAAAAGATTTTTTTTGTTACCTAAGCATTTAAACAAATCAATCTTAAAAGTTCTATGCCTTTTCTTGACTACAATTATTTTATCGTCTATTGATGTTATCGGCCTTATTTGCTGCAACATTAGTAAGATATGTGGTATAAGTCACATTGCAGAGCAAGATTCAAAAATATTACTTTCTTTTACATTATATTTAAGAATTTTAGTGGTTTAAAAGTTAATGTAATTTAAATATGATCGCTTACTTAATACTAGATTGGCTAAAGTAAGTCATTTTGACTGCTTTTAATTTCAATTAGAAAAACAATCATGTATACATTTACACAATTTCTTTGAATTTTGTGACTTTTTGAACAACATATAATTTTTTTTATTGTTAATATTTACTAATAACTTGTTACGTAACAGTAAATAATATAAAAAAGTTTTAAAACTAATTTTGAGCAAATTTAATGATGCATTCACAATCTAGTCATTTTGAATGCTTTTCGACAATGTTAAAATATTTATGCGTAAATGCGAAAAGGTCTTTTTTAAATGTTTCTGGGAAGAAATTTTCAACTTGTCTAAAGGCTTTTTTCCAAATTTTTTTTAAATATGGAACATATTATCTTGAAAGTATTTTAAAAACTGAATACTGTTATTTGGTAAATGCTATAATTAAAGACAATACTAAACTTAAAATTATTTTTATAAATTCTAAACCAAAAATTAATTTTAATTCAATGTAGAAATTAGTTAAGTTTTTTTTTGATCCTAAAGTGTTGTATCTAAAAATCATTTTTAGTGTGATATAGTTATTAAAGTTTCACCAGTGACTTAAATTTCAAGTCTTAATGCCATTCTAGAACAATATAGGTATTAAAGTTTCTGTAATGTTAAGGTCATAATATAAAATTCTCAACTAAAGGATTAGTTTAGTACAATATTATAAAAGTTACTCTAATTTATATTAGATTAAAAGCAAGAAACACTTTTTTGTGATACGTGACATATCGGGAAAAACTTATTTTTTGAACTTTATAAATAAGAACAGATATTTTAAGAAAGGCAGAGTTTAAAACCTACCTATTTTATTGTTATTTATTCAATACTTTAAATTTTTTTTTCTTGTTTTTACAGAACACTAGTTGTTTTTAGCTTAGAAAAAGCTTAAACCTTTCAATTTTCTAAATAAAAGATATTTGTATAGTTTTAGTTTTTAGCACTAATAAAGTTCTTTATATAATCAGAATTAAAATTATTAAAACACTAAAATATAGACAAATAAATGCATACTCCATAATGCATTGTGTTAGCATTATGATAATGGTAAAACAAAGCAAAAGACAATGTTATGAGCCGAATTGAACAGGTCCACTGTTATTTTAGCAAATAACAGTGGAATTATAAAATTATGGTAAAATAACCGACAGCAGTCTGTCCATCCAATTAACCGTAAAGTTTACGGTAAAGAATATTTTTCTTTACCTTTATGGTTTTGAAACAGTTTAGAACTAATTTGGTTAAAAATACAACAATGCATTAATAACAATAATACAGCAATGCTATTTATTATCAAATTTTGATAATTTTACAAAAAGAACTTAGTAAACTCACCTATTACGACGATCAAACGTTCTCATTGAAACTACAAAGGTAGCTTGGCTAAGATTTGAATATATGACAGCTCACCGCTGCATATATACTCTCCTTATCTCCTTATGGATGCACAGATATTTGCATAAACATGATTACATCGAATAAAAATAAAGTATAGATAGCAACTGCATAATTCGGATTCCTCCCAAACATGTAGTCAAAATTGAACTTTGTACATTACAATTTCACCTCATTGTTTATGCGAATTATTTTAACGTTCGTAAATGACCCTTCAATTTGCATGTTTGTTAACTTTAGATAAGCAAGTCTATTATCACTTTATCAAACCTATAATCTCCTGTTCTAAAGTGCAAATCACTAATGTATTCATGTTTTATTTTAGGTGGGCATTTTTTTTTACTCATAAATGCCAATAAACGATAGTATCTATGCTACTTCACTGTTATTTCAAACTTGCTGTTCTGAAAAATACGGTGGACGCACCTTAAATATTTGTAAATTAAAAAAAGATCTTTACATTTCCTGTCAAACATTTCCTCGCCACTATGCTGACGTGAAAGTATCCTCAGTTGTAGACCAATCAATGGATGCGAATTCCTTTGCATAGGATCTAGGAGTTCCCTTGTCTTCTGGATTGGTTTCAAAATTACAAGACTATGGAGTTGGAACATTGATAGTCGTAAACTCAGAATTGGGTTTGCTGTTCAACATAAGCTAAAAAAATAAAATTACATAATAATAACTCGTAGTATCATATTGCATCTTGTATGGCATAGTATATGTATTGTACAGTGAGCCAAAAAAAAAACTGCATCCTGAATAACGTTTAATCTATTGTTCGGTTTATCACGTTCTAGGACTCATCCTTAATATCTCGAAGGGGCAATCTCAAATATTCTAACTAATTAGTGTCGACGATCTTTCAAGTAACAAAATCAGAGACGAAAACATACTTTCTCTGAATAAACAAAACTTTTCTTTAATAGATTCAGGCTTCTGACCCCCAAAATATAGGTGGTAACCACAACCAAGGAAATATGGTCTCCGTAGTTTGTTCATGAGAGCGATCCAAAGTTTGAACCCATTAATGTTCATTTTACTTTATACGTATTTCGCCATATCTCGAGAACTTCTTAAGTGAATTGAAAATTTTTTGAACTCAATTATAAAATTCGTTTATCTATTGATAGTTTCTTGCAAAAAAAAAAAATATTTATCGTATTTAATTATTTTATTCCATGCTAGTTGAAAACTTTTTGAATGGTAAAGTATACAACTTTTTACATCATTTTAAAGTATGTAAATTAAAATAGCGAAGTACAAAATTTGAGTGAAATCGATTGAACAGTTTCTGAGAAATCAAAGTTTAAAAAGTTGTGCACATAAAATTCAATGTCTCAGGAACCGACTTAGCTCTAATTTTGAATTTTTCCCTTCAAAATTAAATACTTTAAAATGATGTGAAAAGTCTTATACCGCACAATTTAAAAAATTTTTTAATTAAATAAAATAATAATTATTTACGAAAATTTATATAATGCATGGAATTATCTTCGGGAAAATGAATTATATAATTATGTGCAAAAATTTTTCATTGAGCTTAAAACTTTCTCGAGTTATAGCGAAATACGCAAGAAGTAGAACTAACATTAAAAGGTCCAAGTTTCGAATCACTCTCCTGACTAAACTATGGGAACCATATTTCACACATTGTTGCCAACCCTCTATATTTTGGGGGGTCAGAAATCTGAATCCGTTGAAAATAAAGGTATGTTTATTCAGAGAAAGTACGTTTTTGTGTCTGGATTTCGAATCTTGAAATATCATCTGCTCTAATTAATTACCATATTTGAGGTCTCTCCCCCCCCCCCCTTCTAACCAATAAGAATCAGTTCAAGAACGATCTTTATATCAAAAGTTATTTCAGAAACCGTTTTTAATTTTGCACACTGTACCTTGCTGTACATGAAACATATGTTAAGAAACGCGTCATGCATGCATATTAAAACGTATCTAGACACTCGCAAGAAAGTTTGGAAGAGTTACTGTTCGACAGTGGTGCTCTCTATAATTACTTGCATTCATTATATTCATTATATATATTTATAATTATATATTATTGTCTGTGACAGTTTTAAATGTAGCTTTTAAATTATTCCCATCTTGATATCAAGTTCATTATTCCATTAAAGTTTATTTTATTGAAAAGAAAAGTTATGAAAGATATTCAATTCTATTGCAGTGAATGCTTCATAAGGTAAAAAATACGTCTCTGTATATCAAAAACTCGTAAGGATCGCTGATTTGGAATGCAAGGAAACCATTTTCAAGATGGAAACTAGAAAAATGTGCATGAAAATTCTGCTGGTGTCTCATAAATTTTGCCGAGTGCAATATCTTTTAAAGTTCTGGTTTCTTGGGTCAAATTTGTGAAATAACTAACAAAATTGTCTCATATCATTTCAATTTTACTAAACTCGTTAATTTATTGTCATTTTTGATAAAAAAAAAATTAAACCTCCTTTTTAAAGTATGTAGCGCCATTTCCAAACTCGGCACACGTGAAAAATATCATTTATATTCTGAAAACATATGTTTCGCGGTGCAAATTTGTTACCCACGTTATTTCAAAAAAGAATATTTTACTTTTGACTAACAATTTTGTTCGCTTTTCGAATAAAATATGAATGTATTCATTTTCGAAATTGATTGTGCAGTAAGCACAATGCAGAGCCGTTAGAAAACTCACATTCCTTGATTTCATTAGTATTTTGGATACTTTTCATCCATAATTAACCCTTGGCTTAGAAGCTGTTTTCATATTCCTTTTCATAATCAGATCACAATTCATGATTAGATTATAATCTAAATAAAGCTCTGTTGTCACTTAACCTCACTTATCAATAAAACTTTTATTTTACTTTTTTATTTATGTCATCATGCTATCAAAATATTTTCAGTTTTGATAAGAATCACTGTTTATTACCTTTATTGTAGTTACATATATATTTTTTTTATTGTTATGTCGTCAATACAAACACGAAAATATTCATAGATATGCAAAGAATTTGTAAAAAAGGAAGGTTTAAATTATAAAAAATTTTGCGTTTGAAGTTTGTAAACAAATGTAATTGAATTAACCTTAATGTTAAAGTTAGCTTAGTTTGTCCTCGGAAGGAGGACTTACTGCATTGCATGGATTTAGGAAAATCGTTTAAAGAAATTTCTAGACTTATTTTCATGATATAGGGTGTTTTTTTTTTTTTTTTTTTTTTTTTTTTTTTTTTTTTTTTTTTGTTAGTGATTCCCCTTTTTACCCATTGACTCCAAAATTTCATTAATCAAATTTTACAAACTTTTTCCGAATTTGTTAGGTCAAAATGAGTAAAAAATATTATATTTTGCATTTTGAAAATTTATGATTATAAAAATTAATAAATTATAATTAATAAATATTATATTTTTATAAAACATATATTTTAAGCGTTTTGACTTATTTTGAAGGTCAAAATAATTCTCTCTATGGAGAGCAACAAAATGCTTAATATTTTCACAATCCCTTTACAATTATGATATGCACTTGAAATTAGTGGTTAATCCACTGTATCTCCATGGAGAACAGCAAAACGCTGAATGTTTTCACGATCCCCTCACATCTTTGATATGCACTTATATTTTTTAATGCACTGCGTATCTCTGTGGAGAGCAAAAAAAAAAAAAAAAACGCTGAATATTTTCACGATCCCTTCACAATTTCAATAATTTAATATAACCAATTGTTCGTTTGTTTTCTTCCAAATAATTTCGTGTACTTACTTCTAGTTTTTATACTTGATTAGTTTTATTGAACTAAGGTAAGTATCGAAATAATATGCAAGAATAATTAATTGAAGCAAAAACACTTTTGATTGTCTTATCTATATCTATCTATTCTAAATAA